GCAAAACGTATAATGATGTATTTTAAGTATGAATATTTCTATTTAGCTTTATATATGATATTAATATTATCAGCTCGTAAATACTTTAGAATATTCGCGACGCTTGATAATATTCGTATAAATATATTCTGAATCTTCAATCATTTAAATTACAACTTTTTTTTCTTTTTTCTTTCAACAAATCTTAATTTAAATTTTTAACTAAATTAAATCTTAATTTTTAACTTTTTTTTTAAATTAAGATTTAATTTACTTAAAAATTTATAATGCATAAGATATGCTTACATAAGTTGAACTAACAAATTAAATGATAATAATAGGAATAATTTTTTAAATAATTTATCGAAAATTAATATTTTCAGTCATTTGATTTTAATGACGAAATGAAAATCCATCTGAAATGTAAATTTATTATATATTCAGCTATAAATCCTAAAATATTAGACTAGATATAAAATAAATACTTAGATATAAAAGAAATGTAATATGCAATAAATTTTTCCTTAGATTCAATATCTCTTATTGAATGAACGAATTTATTACTTATAAAGTCGAAAGTATTGTCGAAAGTAAGAATGATTTACATGCTATCCTTTTTATGTTTCTTATGGTACTCATGAGTACTTATGATGCAAATATATACTTTTTTTTTATTTTAAAAGAAATATTGTGAGGATAATTATATCTACAGAAGAGGCGAATTGAATAAATTCTTTCAAATATACAAATTTTATGCAAAAATGAAAAAAAATGCATCTATTACATGTATTTATATACAATAAATATAATTATCTAAATGTGCAATGAAATTACATAACAAATTAATATTTTAATATTTGATTAGTGTGATATTGATTTAGTGTGATTATCGTTTTATTTTCCGGTCTAAATTATAAATATAAAAATAATTTTCGTCATTACAAAATTTAATACCAAATTTAATAAAAGAGTAGAGCTATTTTAGTAAAAGCTCAGTCGGTTTAGTAGATCCTTACTATATCGATCGGTGAGTAGTAGTATAATGTCTTGCTTAACAAAATCTTAGTCGATAAGAGTTAGTTTGATCGTAATAATAAAGTAGTATTTTCTCACGTAAAATTCAGTCGGTTAAAGAAGATCTTAATGTGTTCTTAATCGGTAAACTTCAGTCGATAACAATAAATCCCTTTTTTACTAATCGGTTATTACTTTCAAAATAATTACTTTTATGGTATACATATGCATACAAATGTATACATAAAAATGTCATAAAAAAATTGAAATTAAATCAGAGTTTACAAAGAATTTAAATTAAGAAGATTAAATAATCGTCCAAAAATTAATACTTATCTTAATATGATTTGATAATTGCTTATATTAATATGATATTAATGTTAAATCGTTAAATTAGGTGAAATATAAATTTATCAAATACTCAACTGCAGATCTTGAGATATATATCGAGCTATAAAATGAACGCTTGGATATAAACGTAGTGATTCTTTAAGACATCTTTCCAAATACGAAAATTCTCGAAGTATCGGAATAGTTAGTTTACAATCGCTTTGTTGCATAACCGTTTTCACTTCATTTCTTATACGTTCCTATAATAGATAATTTATTATTTACTATAGATGTATAACGCGACTCTTTCAATCGAAGATTGTTAAATACTTGGAAAGAAAATATCACCTGAACATCTTTGTGTTTTGCAAAAAGAAGCAGAGCGAAACATAACGCCGTTGCCGTAGTATCGTGACCCTATGGAGATATTTGTTCTAAATTATTATTATTTTTTGTTAATAATCGTAAGGAATTAACATTACAACCTACCGCAAACATAAAAGTGTCGACTTCTTCTCGTATTCCTTCTTGATCGAGTTGATTATCATTCAGAGAAGCGGCTATGAGTAGGTCTAGCAAAGCCAGTCTTTTATTGAATACGAGATCTGCCATCAAATTATTCGATTAATATTAATACCGAGAATATGACTCATTATTATTAATCTATTCGATTACCTTTATTATTTTCTTCGTAAAAAATCAGATTCTCATCCATTTCTTCAACATTTTGTAAATATTTCCCCTTTGTTTGTTCGTGAAATAGTATTCTTTCTGCTATTATCTAAAATAAGAGTAATATTTTAATAAATCGATACAATTTCGCAATATTCAGATTAATTGTATTTGCTCATTTAAATGAAAAACTTACCTTTTTTGAAAAACCGTGAAGCGTTTTCAATAATTTCTTTTGTTGCCTACCACGTTGCGATAATGCAAATATTGTATCGGAATGGTACCATGGTCTTGCTATTCTAATGAATAATACATATTTTTGTAGATTTAATTCCATTTAATTGGAAATTGAATTTATTTCTAATATAAGAATTAATATTTACCTATAGACCGCTATTCTGCCGAAATCATGAACGGCATGGCGATATTTAGTTTCAAATTCGCCCGTTCCTCTTAAAGAGATTCCCATAGCCATTTCTACAAATTAACTTTTGTAAATAATTTTTCTTTTATAAAGATCAGTGAGTAATTATATTTAATTTAACTAACAGCATATCGCGTTTAAAGTATGTACAGGTAAAAATTCCTGTAAATCTTTGATAATCGATACTCCTTTTCCTTCTTCTTTCAGTAATGTTACGAGATACTGTGCCTCCTCATTAAAAGTGACAATAAAATGTTTAAGGATGTTAAAATGAAAGGTTGGCGTTAGAATTTTTTGTCGGTATTGTCACTTTTCTCTTATTTAGTGGAACATTTGTCGTTAAGTATTATCAAATATATTAAGTTTATGTTTGTTCATATTGTTACCTGCACCAGTTATTAATCCAGTAGAAAGCCAAGTTTGTATGAATTTGTAATATCTTTTTCTATAGGTTGGTTACTCCTTAATAATATCTTCTATCGAAATATATATTTATTCTTTTCCGTAAGATGACTTTGACAGAATACGTTCTGATCTGAAAAGGAGGAGAGAACTAAAAATTAACACTGTTTTTGCCTTGTAATTCTTATCTCAACATCTTCCGGATGTAGTAAAGTTACTAATGGAAAAAAAAACGTCCTCACTCTGTGGACTGGATATAACTCGATATTTGTTTTCCAACATTTTTCAAGAATTTAGTCTAAAATATTAATAAAATCGTTATGTTTATATTATGGTTATGTTAAGTGACAATTACATCGAGTTGGAGAAGTTGTAAGTTAAACGATAATTCGTTTGGACGAATTTCACTTCCGATTGAGCTTATCAATATCAAGTTGAAATTTATATAAATTTCCTATTATCGGGTGTGTTTTTAGTACAGGAATTCGATTGGATATTCTTCCCACTTTTCCATATCTTACAAAGCAGTGCAATACAAGTGAAAGTATGAAGAAATCCAATAGGTTTGTGAAGAACATATTATCTATAAAAGAAGAAAAATGTATTGAATAGACATTTTCATAGTTACAATCGTATTTATATTCATATGTACAATATGAATATAATTATTTTGATGATTATATATAGAAAGAAATTAGATGATAGAGAAATAATCTAATATTTGCTTAGTTCGATAGTTGTGATACGTCATTTTATGTTTGTCAAAGAGTATTTGCCATACTTATAATGACGTATTTGGCAAGTACAAATATGAAATGAGTACAAGCAGAAACGAATTTATGCGACTTTACGCATAAGACATGGGGCTTTCCACATGACAATATAATCTTAATTTAATACCCACTAATCGATGTATAATCTTTTTTTCGAAATTGTATTTTTTTATTTAATTATTTCATGGACGGTTGAGGCTCGAGAGTGTAGATATTGTTCAAGATTGATTGATTTTAGATAAATTTCAAAAATTTTTTAATAGCTTTTGAAAGCTAAATCTATCATCGTTTAAAGTTGGAGAAAAATATATTAAAATAATATTATTTATACATGCATTATTGCGAAAAATGTTATCGTAATAAATATAGAATATATCTATATAATTAAAATTTTTGTCCGAACGTGCAATTTTTGGTAGAGAAAATTTTAGACTAATTTATTATTTAATTAAATTTAATTTCACTTGCGTATTTGTCAATGATCAATGTAGATTTTAAGATGCATGAATTCTATATTCTCCTTATCATTTCCAGATGTACGAAAGGTTAGCGAACACATTAGCAATATGAAGTATTACTTGTGACAATGTGTAATTATAAATTGGAAAAAATGATTGGACAGTACTTATATTATTCGCAGGTTCAGATGTTCTCGTTAATAACCTTTTTAATACACTAGCAAATAGATTGCAATTGCTCCTAGATTACAATAATATTACACAAAAGTTAAATAACAAATATGTGGTTTTCATATCACTATGTTACATAATCATTTATTATTATCTAAAGACGTAAATCAGCTTTTATATTTATATTCTATATCAAAGTTTATAAAAATTATATATATGAAATATATTATATATATATTAGATGGACCGGAAAGTAATGTCGCTTTCTTAAATTAAATTCAAACGAATAAATTTTTAACAAATTTTTATTTTTAATTACAATCAAATATCGACATGCGCAGAAACGACATTATTTTTCGGTCCCCCTAATAAATATATATGTGTATATAGAATTGCAACTAAATATTCTTTGCCACTTCTTTCGGTCAGATAAATATTTTCTACACCTTTAGTTTTATTCTTTCTTTCCTCACTTATTGGATTCATTAGCACCGACAACGTTATCAGTTAAAATCTTTCATCTTAGTGACATATACAATTATTTTTTTAAATTAAAAATACACTTTCTAACAAGCCACGACGTAGAACTTTATATATTAGCCTAGTATTTATAGAAATTGTGTAAGTTTAATCTATCTGTCGATAAAGCAATTTAATGAATAAAAGTTTTGAATGTAAAGAATATTCTTTGTTATGTAAGGTAAAGATATAAAAGACCTAAAGATTATTAATGTATGGAAAAAATGAAAAAACGGATTGTGTTGTATTAACAATTTTTTTTATCTAGAAAAAATCGAATATTCGATATGAGTCATTTTATAGGAATAAATTTGACACGAAGTGGTTTTGATGAGCACAATACAAGATCTGCAATCATCTTAACGTCGTCTAGTTCATCTACAGGTTCCAAATAGAAGTTGTGCAATATGTAAGCTACTATGAGTTTGAGTTCAAGCATTGCGAATTTCTGCCCTACAAAAAGAAAAATAATACATTTATTTTGATCTAATTTCGATTACTACATGCAAGCTTTACCGATGCAGTTTCTTGGTCCTGCGCTGAATGGAATGAAGGAATAAGGATTACGTCCTTTTGTATTTTTTGGTAAAAATCTATCCGCATCGAAAACATCAGGATTTGTCCAAATATTTGGATTTCTGTGTAAGCTATAGATGTTTACATTACATATTGATCCGGCTGGGATTAAATAATTCTCTACAAATTAATATGATTACTTATTCTATTATGATCTGATAATTGCTTATATTTATATGATGATAATGATAAATCGTTAAATTATGTGAAAAATTAATTTATCACATACTCAATTGCAGATCTTGAGATATATATCGAGCTATAAAATGAATGCTTGGATATAAACGTAGTGATTCTTTGAGACATCTTTCCAAATATGAAAATTCTCTAATCATTTGAATAGTTAGTTTACAATCGCTTTGTTGCATAACCGATTTCACTTCATTTCTTATACGTTCCTATAATAGATAATTAATTATTTATTATAAATGTATAATGTGACTCTTTCGATCGAAGTTTGTTAAATACTTGGAAAGAAAATATCACCTGAACATCTTTGTGTTTTGCAAAAAGAAGCAGAGCGAAACATAACGCCATTGCCGTAGTATCGTAACCCTATGGAGATATTTGTTCTAAATTATTTTTATTTTTTGTTAATAATCGTAAGGAATTAACATTACAACCTACCGCAAACATAAAAGTGTCGACTTCTTCTCGTATTCCTTCTTCATCGAGTTGATTATCATTCAGAGAAGCGACTATGAGTAGGTCTAGCAAAGCCAGTCTTTTATTGAATACGAGATCTGCCATCAAATTATTCGATTAATATTAATACCGAGAATATGACTCATTATTAAACTATTGACTTATTATTAAACTCATGACTTATTATTAAACTATTCGATTACCTTTATTATTTTCTTCGTAAAAAATCAGATTCTCATCCATTTCTTCAACATTTTGTAAATATTTCCCCTTTGTTTGTTCGTGAAATAGTATTCTTTCTGCTATTATCTAAAATAAGAGTAATATTTTAATAAATCGATACAATTTCGCAATATTCAGATTAATTGTATTTGCTCATTTAAATGAAAAACTTACCTTTTTTGAAAAACCGTGAAGCGTTTTCAATAATTTCTTTTGTTGCCTACCACGTTGCGATAATGCAAATATTGTATCGGAATGGTACCAAGGTCTTGCTATTCTAATGAATAATACATATTTTTGTACATTCAATTCCATTTAATTGGAAATTGAATTTATTTCTTATATAAGAATTAATACTTACCTAGAGGCCACTATTCTGCCAAAGTCATGAACGGCATGACGATATTTAGTTTCAAATTCGCCCGTTCCTCTTAAAGAGATTCCCATAGCCGTTTCTACAAATTAACTTTTGTAAATAATTTTTCCTTTATAAAGATTAATGTGTAATTATATTTAATATAACTAACCGCATATCGCGTTTAAAGTATGTACAGGTAAAAATTCTTGTAAATCTTTGATAATCGATCCTCCTTTTCCTTCTTCTTTCAGTAATGTTACGAGATACTGTGCCTCCTCGTTAAAAGTGACAACAAAATGTTTAAGGATATTAAAGTGAAAGGTTGGGGTTAAAATTTTTCGTCGGTGTTGCCACTTTTCTCCTGTTTAGTGGAACATTTGTCGTTAAGTATTATCAAATATATTAAGTTTATGTTTGTTCATACTATAACCTGCAGCAGTTACTAATCCAGTAGAAAGCCAAGGTTGTAAGAATTTGTAAGGTATAGCTTTTTCCATATGTCTCGTACTCTTCAAAAGTATCTATGATCGAGATATATATATTCTGATTTTCATAAGATGATTTTGACAGATAACATTTAAATTGTAAAAGAAAGAAAAAAATTTTAATTAACTCTGTTATTGTCTTAAAATTATTTACCTCGACGTCTTCTGGATCAAATATACTTATTAATGAAAAGAATAATGACCACAATCTGTTAATTGGAGAAAATTCCTTATTCATTTTCCAAAGTTTTTCTAGTACTTGTTCTGAAATATTGATTAAATGTTTATATTGAATAAACTACATCGATGAATTGAAAGTTAACGGACAAAATTTTTTAAATAAAATTATTTCCGACAAAATTTACCATTGTCAACTTGAAAATGATATAAATTTCCTATTATGGGAAATGCTTTAGGTCCACCAATTCGACTAGAAATATTTCCTAATCTGCCATATCTTGTTAAGTAATGCAATAAGAATAGTATTGTAAGCAACCCTGATATTATAAAGAAGAACATCTTATCAATTCTGTGGAATAGAAAAAAATTCTTAAATAAATATCTTCAATTATATTATGCGTATAATAATATTATAATATTATTATAATATTATAATATTATTATAGTAATTATTAAATATGCAAAGAAGTTAGGTGGCAGAAAAATACTGTAATATTCGCTTCTTGTGATTCATAGAGTACGTAGTTTATATTTATCGACAAAAGTTATTAACGTATATAGAATTTTCATATTTGCTATAGATTTAATTTACGAGTACAAAAATGTATTGCACGAAAGCACTGATGGACTTACGCATAAGTGGTAATACGATTGACGTGCCTCGTCTGATTAAGATACGAATCTCTTACGAATGTCATAGTTATATTTAATTTTAAATGTAATGGCCGATGCATAATTTTTATTTTCATATTTGCGATTCTAAATGACTTTTGTTAGTATATTTCTTATTTTCACGAATAGTTGAAGCAAGAGAATAAATATTGCATAAATTTCTAATTTTTCAATCGTCTTAAATATTCAGTTTGTTAATGTATACAGAATTAAAAATCATTGTACAACGCAAACAAAAAATGTTGACGTGTCAAATGTAGAATATATTTGTGTAATTTAGTTTTAGTCGTTAGTAGTTTAATCTAATCGTACAATTTTTTGAATAAAAAACTTTAAATTAATCAATTATTTAATTAAAATTTAATTTGACTTGAGTAATGATCAATGATTAGTACCTTTTACGTATCCGTTTTAGCTCTATGAATGATTAACGAACACAAGAGCATTATTAAGGATTACTTGCGATAATGTTTAACTATTTAATGGGAAAAATAATTAAACAACACTTACTTTCTTTATAAGTCCTAATATCTTTAGTAACAGAGTTTTCAAGACACTGAATATATAAGTGATTCGATCGGTAGAGCGTCTGAACGTTGAATGAGAAATTCTGACAGAACACGATACTTTTATTATACTATCCGTTTTTCTTATACCATCGTGTCGCATAATTTTACCTAAATATGATAATTAATCAAGGAAAAACAAGATAATAGTATCTTGTGTAACGTTAATAACTTTCTTATGATTTCTTGAGTCTCTGTTAAACACTACGTTCAGAAGAAAATTAAAAAAAAAATATATATCGAAGTTGAATTTCTTCTGTTAAGAATATAATGTACGTTTAAGCTTGGTCATAATTGAAGAATTGACATTCTAATAATTTGATTAAAGAAAGAAATCATAAATGGGAGAGACAGATAGAGAGAGAGAGAGAGAGAGAGAGAGAGAAAGAGAGTGAGTGGGAGATGGGGAGGTTTACTATATTGTTCATCGTTTTTATTATATCACTAAATATATTCTATGCTTCATATATTTTTCTTCATTTTTTGAATTTTTAGCAACAAGGAACCAAATCGGTTAAATTAGTTTCATCATTGGGTTATAATTGATTGTACTTTTATATTTGATAAAAAAAAAGCGAAACAGTTTTTCTTATCTAATTGCATTTTCGAAGAGAAAAATAACGATACAAGTTTAATTAGGATTATATATTATAGATAAGCATAAAGGATTAAATTATCCTAACGCCTGATAAAATAAATCGTATTTGTACACGATTATAAAATAAAATATAAAAGCTGTCATTACAAAAGTCACTTTTATGTTATCCTATAGATATATGTTCTTTCCTTTTTTTTCCAGTCTGCTGCTTTTTAAAATTAATGGTGGTAGTTTCTCAATAGTATAACTTTCCTTTATTTTTACATTCAAGAAGATAGAACATGTATTATTCATAGAGGAATGGGCGGTAGTATGCCATCCGATTTCTAAATTTATATTTCTTCTTAAAGAAAAAATTATACAAATTATAGAAAGAGTCAAACAATACAAAAAAGATTAGGTTTAATGCAAATATAAAAGATAACACAGATATCTATAAATTCATTCAATTATTATCAGACAATTTACTCTTCTAGATATTTAATTTCAAATAATCAAAATTACACGTACGTTCTTACACTTTAATTTTATTCTTTTATCTTTCTTTCGCATTCGAAAAATATTGTCGATTGAAAAATATTATCGAGTGTTCTGTAGTCGTTACAGTCCGATAATCTTTACATTATGGATTCAGCGATAAGAGGATTTGCAGAATTTGACACAGAAGGAGGAATGTAAAGTAAAAGAAGAAGGGGCAAGGTTTCCGAGATGTCGAGTTTTTTTTCTGATTTTCTTCGAAATATCACGTAAAACTCTTTATCCATTATTCCAAAGTTTTTGAAGCATTTGTTCTAAAATATTAGTAACTAGATATATTGTCGTAAACTAGAAACTCGACTAAAAGTGCTTAAACTCGGACATATGTGGTCACGTGTTTTTTATCTATACGTTTCCTTAGCGAGTATGTAATGAGTTACATAAGGAAGACATTTCTAATAGTGATAAATGACCCTTCGGAGAAGGTACTGCGAACAGTTGAGGGAAGCACGTAAGTATCAACACAATGAATAACTACAAAATGGAAAAGAATAAATAGACAATACTTTCATTGATCGCTAGTAATGTGACATTACTTTAATACTGAAGAATCTTTGACGAAGATATAAAACAGTTTTGTAAAACAGGTTTGTTCAATGGATAGTTCAAGTTAAAATTATATTCGAAAAATAAAATTTTATTCGTCAAACATTTCAGCTGTTCGGAAAGAGTAAGCTTATATACACAGAATAAAAATAATAAGAGAAAATGATGTGATTATGCTAAAATTATATGAGAATAACTTCGGCATTTATATATATAGTTCACACATTTTAACTTTTTATCGTAACGACGCACACTATCTCATTAGTGACGTACTGTTATTTTATGATTATAAATTTAACTCGATGTTGTTATGAGAAGCGCAAAGTAATACCTTTCATTATTTTAACGTCGTCCAGTCCATTCGCATGTTCCAAATAAAAGTTGTGCAATATGTAAGCTACTATGAGTTTGAGTTCAAGCATTGCGAATTTCTGCCCTACAAAAAGAAAAATAATACATTTATTTTGATCTAATTTCGATTACTACATGCAAGCTTTACCGATGCAGTTTCTTGGTCCTGCGCTGAATGGAATGAAGGAATAAGGACTACGTCCTTTTGTATTTTTTGGTAAAAATCTATCCGCATCGAAAACATCAGGATTTGTCCAAATATTTGGATTTCTGTGTAAGCTATAGATGTTTACATTACATATTGATCCGGCTGGGATTAAATAATTTTCTACAAATTAATATGATTACTTATTCTATTATGATTTGATAATTGCTTATATTTATATGATGATAATGATAAATCGTTAAATTATGTGAAAAATTAATTTATCACATACTCAATTGCAGATCTTGAGATATATATCGAGCTATAAAATGAATGCTTGGATATAAACGTAGTGATTCTTTGAGACATCTTTCCAAATATGAAAATTCTCTAATCATTTGAATAGTTAGTTTACAATCGCTTTGTTGCATAACCGATTTCACTTCATTTCTTATACGTTCCTATAATAGATAATTAATTATTTATTATAAATGTATAATGTGACTCTTTCAATCGAAGATTGTTAAATACTTGGAAAGAAAATATCACCTGAACATCTTTGTGTTTTGCAAAAAGAAGCAGAGCAAAACATAACGCCATTGCCGTAGTATCGTGACCCTATGGAGATATTTGTTCTAAATTATTTTTATTTTTTGTTAATAATCGTAAGGAATTAACATTACAACCTACCGCAAATATAAATGTGACGACTTCTTTTCGTATTCCATCTTGATCGAGTTGATTATCATTCAGAGAAGCGGCTATGAGTAGGTCTAGCAAAGCCAGTCTTTTATTGAATACGGGATCTGTCATCAAATTATTCGATTAATATTTATACCGAGAATATGACTCATTATTATTAAACTATTCTATTATTATTTTCTATTATTATATCTTTTATTATTCTCGTCGGTTTTTTCGGAAGAAATCTTATCATTCATTTCTTCAACATTTTGTAAATATTTCCCCTTAGTCTGTTCGTGAAATAGTATCCTTTCTGCTATTATCTAAAATAAGAGTAATATTTTAATAAATCGATACAATTTTGCAATATTCGGATTAATTGTGTTAGCTTACTTAAATGAGAAACTTACCTTTTTCGAAAAACCGTGAAGCGTTTTTAATAATTTCTTTTGTTGCCTACCACGTTGCGATAATGCAAATATTGTATCGGAATGTTACCAAGGTCTTGCTATTCTAATAAACGATGTATATATTTTGTATATATGCATAATTCCATTTAATTGAAAATTGAATTTATTTCTAATATAAAAATTAATACTTACCTATAGACCGCTATTCTGGCGAAATCATGAATGGCATGGCGATATTTAGTTTCAAATTCGTTTCTCTTAAAAAAAAATCCGTTCCTCTTAAAGAGATTCCCATAGCCGTTTCTACAAATTAACTTTTATAAATAATTTTTCTTTTATAAAGATCAGTGAATAATTATATTTTATTTAACTAACAATTATATTTAATTTAACTAACGCATATCGCGTTTAAAGTATGTACAGGTAAAAATTCCTGTAAATCTTTGATAATCGATCCTCCTTTTCCTTCTTCTTTCAGTAATGTTACGAGATACTGTGCCTCCTCGTTAAAAGTGACAATAAAATGTTTAAGGATGTTAAAATGAAAGGTTGGCGTTAAAATTTTTCGTCGGTGTTGCCATTTTTCTCCTGTTTAGTGGAACATTTGTCGTTAAGTATTATCAAATATATTAAGTTTATGTTTGTTCATACTGTTACCTGCTCCAGTTATTAATCCAGTGGAAAGCCAAGGTTGTATGAATTTATAAGGTATAGTTCTTTCTAGATGTTGCGTACTCTTCAAAAGTATCTATGATCGAGATATATATATTTTGATTTTCATAAGATGATGATGACATGTTACATTGAAATTGTAACAGAAAGAAAAGAATTTAAATTAACTCTGTTATTGTCTTCAAATTATTTACCTCGACATCTTCCGGATGAATTATAGTTATTAATGAAAAAAATAATGACCACAATCTGTTAATTGGAGAAAATTCCTTATTAATTTTCCAAAGTTTTTCTAATAATTGTTCTGAAATATTGATTAAATGTTTATATTGAGTAAAACTGCATCGATGAAATGAAAGTTAACGGATAAAATTTTTTCAATAAAATTATTTCCGACGAAGTTTACCATTGTCATCTTGCAGATGATATAAATTTCCTATTATGAGGTATGCTTTTGGTCCCACAATTCGACTAGAAAAATATCCTATTCTCCCATATTTTGTAAAGATATGCAACACGAATAGGAGTATAAAGAAACCTGATATGACCAGGAGGAACATTTTATCAATTCTGTGAAAGATAATAAAATTCCTTAAATAGACTTCTTCAAGTATATTATGCGTATAATGATATTATTATAGTAATAATTGGATATGCAAAGAAGTTAGTTGACAAACAAATACTGTAATATTCGTTTCGTGTGGTATATAGAATACGTAGTTTATATTTACCAACAAAAGTTGTAAACGTATATTGAATTTTTTATATTTGCTATAGATTTAATTTACGAGTACAAAAATGTATTGCACGAAAGCAGTGATGGACTTACGCATAAGTGGTAATAAAGCTGACGTGCCTCGACTAATTAAGATACGATCCTCTTACATGACAAATGTAAATTTAATTTCACATTTGATCGCTGATGTATAAGTTATATTTCTTTATTTGCGATTCTAAATGAATTTTGATAGTGTATTTCCCATTTTTATGTACAGTTAAAGCAAGAAAATAAATATTGCATAAATTTCTAATTTTTCAATCGTCTTAAATATTCAATGTGTTAGTGTATACAGAATTAAAAATCATCGTACAACGCAAATGAAAACTGTTGACGTGTAAAATGTAGAATATATTTATGTAGTTAGTAGTTTAATCTGATCGTACAATTTTGTGAATAAAAATCTTTATATTATCCAATTATTTAATAAAAATTTAATTTTACCTGATTAATGGTCAATGATTAGTATCATTTACGTATCCGTTTCAGCTGTATGAATAATTCACGAACACAAGAGCAATATTAAGAATTACTTGCGATAATGTTTGTCTATTATTATTTCCTATAAAATGGGAAAAGTAATTAAACAATATTTACATTGTTCGTAAGTTCTTATAGATCTCGTAACAGAATTTTCAAGACACTGAATTTATAAGTGACCCGATCGCTTGAACGTCTGAACGATGAATGTGATATTCTAAGAGAGCACGTTACTTTTACTCTACGAATACTTTTTCCTTATGACACTGTGTAATATAATTTTATCTATATATGATAATTAATCATTGAAGGACAAAATAATAATATCTAGTGTCGATTACTTTCTCGAGATTTCTTCAGTCTCGGTTAAAAACAATGTTCCAAAATAACTTTTAAAGTAGAATTTATATCGAAGTTGAATAATATATAATAAAATTTATTAATATATATATAAATAAATAATATTAATATATTAATAAATATTTTTATATCTTAAATAATTAAAATTTATAATTATATACCTATTTATACGGTAAGAATATATGTGATTTCATGTTGGTCATATTTCAAGAATTGATATTTTAATAATTTAATTTAATAAAGAAATCAAAACAGGATGAGACATAGGGAGAGATAGAGATAAAGAGGGAGAAAGGGAGAGAGAGCGCGTGATAAGGAGAGTGAGTGATGAGTAAGAGAGAGAGTGAGAGAGTGAGCGAGTGGGATGGAGAGTGGGATAGAAAGTGAGCAAGCAGGAGGGAGAGAGAGAGAAAAAGAGAAAGATTGAGAGAGAGAGAGAGAGAGTGAGAAAAAGAGAATGATTGGGAGAGAGAGAGGTTTACTATAATATTTTTCTTTTTTTATTACATCACTAAATATATTCTATGCTTCATATATTTTTCTTCATTTTTTGAATTTTTAACAACAAGAAACCAAATCGGTTAAATTAATTTTATCTTTGGGTTGTAATTGGTTGTATTTTCATATTTGATAAGAAAAACAGGGTAACACTTTATCTTATCCAATTAAATTTTCAAACAGAAAAATAACGATAGAAGCTTTATTAGGATTATATATTATAGACAAGCATAAACGATTAAATTATCATAACGCCTGATAAAATAAATTGTATCTGTATCCGATTATAAAATAAAATATAAAACTATCATTACAAATATGACTTTTATACTGTCTTATATTTATACGTTCTTTCCTTATATTTTTGTCCAGTATGATGGTTTTTAAAATTAATGGTGTTAGTTTCTCTATAGAACAACTTTCTTTTATTTTTACTAACAGTAAGACAGAACATGTATTATTCATAGGGGAATAGACAGTAATATACCGTCCCATTTTTTAACTTATAATTCTTCTTGAAGAAAAAATTATACACATTATAGGAAGAATCAAACAATACAAAAAAGATTTTATTCAATACAAATACAAGAGATAACGAAAATATCTACAGGTTCGTATAATCACGATCAGACAATTTACTCATTTCAATAATGAATTCCAAATAATCACAATTACATGTTCGTTCTTACACTTCAATTTTATTTTTACATCTTTCATTATTCACGCATCGATCGAGAAGTGACATCGACCATTCTATAGTCGTTACAGTCCGATTATTTTATATCCGTTACATTATGGATGTAGCGATAAGAGGTTTTGCGGCATTTGTAACAGAAAGAGAAATGTAAAGGAAAAAAACGAGAGGCAAGTTTTCAAAGACACCGAGTTTTTCTCTGTTTTTCTTCGAGATATCACGAAAGTAAAATGGGTAAATCGAGCAAAAATGAATGATTGGATTACCTTGACAATGTTAAACTGATGTATCTCTTAAGATAAATGGATTGAAAGCAAGGAGGTTTAGAAAAGAATAAGAATATATACACAGATTAAAAAAAAACAAAAGAAAAGATATGATTTTGCTAATAATATATTATAATAGCTTCCTTCGTACATAAAGTATACACATTTTAACTTTTTATCGAAACGGCGCATACTATCTCATTATTTTTCATTTACTATCTATTTACGATATGGATTTCATATTTTGTTAAGAACAAAATATTCATTTATAAAAAATATTCTATATTATATATATAATCGCTATGATTATCTTGTTATGATATTCATAAATTCATTAAAAACAAATTAAATGATTAGTGCAGTAATAAAAGAATTGGATTGACTCACCGATAAAAAAAGAAAAAAAAGAGAAAATGAAGCAGACAGGTTCCCGAGATGATAAATTTTTTTTATTTTTTTCGAGACATGATGAAGGCAAAATGGAATCTAGCAAACAATACTATTTGGATTAATTAATACTTTGAAATATGTTACATCATTGTGTCAGGTATGAATGAATTGAACAAAATAAGGAATGAGAGAAAAGAAAAAAAAGAGAAAATACATACAGAGATTAAAAATAAGCGGAAAAAAAATTTGATTATGTTTCGTATTCCAACATTATACATATTATAATTTCGCCTTATAGATCACGCCATCGAAATTATATATGCAATCTCGGTAAAGATGACGTACGATTATTTTATAGGTATAAATTTGACTCGAAGTCGTTTCGATGAAAGTAATATAAGATCTAATATTTTAACGTCATCTAGTTCATCCACAGGTTCCAAATAGAAGTTGTGCAATATATAAGCTACCATAAGTTTGAGTTCAAGCATTGCATATTTCTGCCCTACAAAAAGAAGAATAATACATTTATTTTGATCTAATTTCGATTACTACACGTAAGCTTTACCGATGCAGTTTCTTGGTTCTGCACTGAATGGAATGAAGAAATAAGAGTTACGTCCTTTTGTATTTTCCGGTAAGAATGTATTTGCATCGAAAACATCAGGATTTATTCAAATATTGGTCTTTTCCCAGAAGGTATAAACTTTCAAATTTATAGAGTTTCAAATACGAGACAATCTGCTTGTTTTCCAATTGCTTATTTTACAATAACCATTTTTTTTTCTATTTCTCTAATGAGGTTAGAAGATATTATAGCTCATTATTATAAATTACGACAAAATATTTATGAATATTAAAGCGGAAATAGATATCAATATTTTTCGTCTTTTTTACCATTTGTTATGTCCCGATTGATACTTGACACGTTAAATATTATGAGATGTATCAGATCTTTCTTCCTCTAATCATTATTTATATTTATTATAAATCCAATGAAAAGTCAAGTATTTCTACGTATATATATATATTATACGTACAAATATATATATTATACATATTTATATATATATACATATATAAAAAGCACTTTATTAACGAATATAATTATATTGATAATCAAATCTAAGAAAAAGTTAGACAAAACAAAAATATTTTATTAAAATATAACTATATAGTTAAAGTTTTAACACGATCATATTACAGAAGAAATTTTACAAATAAATTAATTTACTTTTATAAATATTTATAAGTATTGTAATATAACCGCATAGCACTTATGCGTTTAAAATTGCATGAATCAAATTGTCTTTTTAATTGTATCAATGTGTGATAATGCATTATGAATATTAAGGATTATTTGTATAAGAACATATAATAATAAAATGGAAAAATATAATTAAATATCATTTATAATATTTCCTCGTTTAATTATTTCTCGGTAGCAGAAATTTTTATGGATTGATTTCATTAAAATCATTATATTATGTCGCATGATCTTTGGAACGTTGAATAAATAATTCTCGAGAGAAAAGAGAGATAATTGTGTGTAAAAATATTATACATGTTAACTCGCAGTTGCATAATTGCAAAACGTATAATGATGTATTTTAAGTATGAATATTTCTATTTAGCTTTATATATGATATTAATATTATCAGCTCGTAAATACTTTAGAATATTCGCGACGCTTGATAATATTCGTATAAATATATTCTGAATCTTCAATCATTTAAATTACAACTTTTTTTTCTTTTTTCTTTCAACAAATCTTAATTTAAATTTTTAACTAAATTAAATCTTAATTTTTAACTTTTTTTTTAAATTAAGATTTAATTTACTTAAAAATTTATAATGCATAAGATATGCTTACATAAGTTGAACTAACTAATTAAATGATAATAATAGGAATAATTTTTTAAATAATTTATCGAAAATTAATATTTTCAGTCATTTGATTTTAATGACGAAATGAAAATCCATCTGAAATGTAAATTTATTATATATTCAGCTATAAATCCTAAAATATTAGACTAGATATAAAATAAATACTTAGATTTAAAAGAAATGTAATATGCAATAAATTTTTCCTTA